ACTTAGTACATCTGTCCCTTGGGATATCATATCAACGTCTCAAATCCGTTATGGGAAGCAATAGTTTCTATGTCCTTGATTACAGCCAGTACTAAATAAAAGACTATGGAAACCACTTGGTAAGTTTTCAGCATATGAGCAACATGCTGAGAGTCACACTGATGGCAAAACAATTCCGGTCCTCCTGATTCAGAGGTGGCCGATCACAGTGATGAACCTCACTCTTTCAGGTGCTCCACCAACTGCGGCAGGCATGGGTGCACTTGCATGTCTGTGATTTAGAGCAGCCATCTTCAAGGTATGCTTCTCAAGCTTTAGGTGATGTGATCGTCAGCACCAGGATCACTGTTAAGGCCAGAGTGTTGCTCTGCCCCAGGGTTTGACTCTGGAGGTTCCAGGCTGAGCTGAGGATCTTCTAACACATTCCCAGGTGGTGGTGAGGCAGCAGATACAGACACTGGCTTGGTAAGGATGGTTGTGTCTGTTTCACTGGAACTATACACGTGGGAGAGGGCTGAGCTCTGTAGAAAAGCTGTAAGTGCTCATGAGAGAATTTCAAAGACCTCTACGGACATCACCTGAGGAGCCCTGTTATGGGATTTTCCTTCAACCACTCCGAGGTGGGCTGCACATCACAGGTGGGACTTGTTTTGTGGATCATCGTAATTGGGGATGCAGAGAAATGCAATTGTTTCCGGATGACTGTGAAATCCCACCCCTTCAGTTACCTGTTCAGCTCTTCAACTCCAGAAGAACCAAGGTATGTTTTGTATCATGAATAATGTAAACCCAAAGACAGACAATGGGATTCAAGCTAAAGATCAGAGAAGCAAATCAGTCAAGCTACTAGAGAGCTCTTACCTCAACCAGGGCTGGAGAGATCCTGTCCTCAACATGGCTGGAGACTAATTGCCTGAGACTGCAGGCATACTGAATGCCCTGCTCCTGTCTTATATACCTCTCTGGTGCTGGGATTAAAGGCGTGAGCTCTGTTTCTCTTTCAGACTGATTCACTCTCATGTAGCCCTGGGTGGTCTTGAACTCACAGAGATCCATCTGCCTCTGTCTCCTGAATCCTGGGATTCTATGGCTGTGGATAGCTTTGCATTCTGATCCTTCAGGCAAGCTTTATTAAATCATAAATAATATATCACCAGTATTTAAAAAACAAACAAAAACCAAAATTATCTTATTTAACAACAGATTTGATACCATGTGCCCAAATACACTCCTTACTTAAGGTAATAGGAAAACTCTAGTCTATGAATGTGATGGCACTTGCTCCTTTGTGTAAAATAGCTATGACTTAAACCATCATGGAAGAGTTCACTCTTTTAACTCTGAAATGAAAATAGTGTCAAGCACAATATTACTCATTTTCATTAAGAATTTATCAAAGACCCAAGTAGATAAAAATAAGGAAAATAGAAAATAGGCAGATTTAAGGATCAGTGAAATTAATGAAATAGTATTTTCATTCAGAGAAGGAAGGAATTGGGAGAAGAGAGGAGGCTTGGGGAAGATTACTAACAGTTGACTGTAACGAATACAGTTGGAGCTACATTGACTTCACAGTCTATGGGAGTCTGGCTCATCAACACAATGGGAAAAAAGGCTTCAAAGATTATGAAGTGAGAGATTACAACTACCAAATGCCCCAGTGGTCCTACTAGGTGTGGATGGAGACTGCATTTAAGGAGCCGAGTCACCCTATAGTAGGAACCAGGGGTTGGGAGTAGGAATAATACTGTCATGGCTGTCACCTCCATGGCTGGTGGAGAGAGATGGCAAGGAAATTTGCCGTCAGGCTAACTTGTGTCAGGAGTACCTAGACAACTTGTTTAGCAGTGCTGGGCCCACCTCAAGCTCTGCTTCCTGTAGATCTGATATGGAGGTGGAGAAGTTTCTAACACATCCCTGTATTGATGCTGGTGGGAGACTACACTTTTTGAGCCAATCAGCATTTGAGATAATCAATTTACAAAGTGAAAACATATCTGGGCTCCAATTTCAGTCCATGGTTCTATCAGTGGGTTTGTTTAGAGCCTGTAGGGAGTCAGTAGTGAGTAAAGCTTTTCACTTCATGGCAGAGGGGATGCTGAAGGAGGGGGACAAGCAGGGCTGATGTATAAACCTTCTGCTGGTCCTGTCTCTTAATTTCTCCAACACCAACCGCACCAAGGAAACCAAGACCGTAGTACCCAGTCTAAGTTCAAACCACAGTGCTTTGTAAATCACCAATTTAGATCAGGTTTTTCCATCTTTGTTACCATTAGTGTTTGAGGCCAGATAGCCTGTTACTGTGTGGAATTTGTCCTGCACTTTACAGGACATTAAAAACAGACCAGATTTCTGTCCATTAGACACCAGTAGACCCCAAAGATGTGATAACAAAGAGTGCTCACCAGCATCATTGAATGCTGAAGGTCTGTATCATACACTACTATAGGTTAATATAACACACATGTGGAAACCCTGCAAGACCCTGCAGGGTGTGATCTGGAAATGTGGGAAAAGGGGAACTGCAGCCTACAACATAGGAATCGTACGCTTAAAACGCAAATGACCTGTTCATGTTAAGGCTTTGTACTTCATCTTTTAATGAACTGACCCCAGAAAAATCAAGTTGGAGCGGTAATTCTAAGTTTCTTTCAGGTTTCTGTGTCCTGGAATTCTGAAACACAATTAAGGGTTCTCTCCTGTGTAACGTAGGATTCTTGGCCTGGCTAGGTCCTGTAGCCCTTCTCAGCCCCAAAGAAGCACACAGAGGCTATATTAATTATGAAACTGCTGGCTGCTATCTAGAGTTTCTTATTGGCTAGCTCTGTCTTATTAACCCATTTCTATTAATCTAAGTTTTTCCATATGGTCTTATCTTACTGGGGAATGCCGGACCTACTGCATGATGACTGCTCAGAGTCTCCATAGAGAAGAGAGGGATTTCCTGTATGTCCCTGCTTATATCCTGTTCTGCCTAGTTATGTCACTTCCTGTCTGGCCAATCAGCCAATCAGTGTTTTATTCATTAATCAATAAGAGAAATATATATAAAGAGCATTCCTCATCACTCCTGCATACTAATTATTCCAAGATCATTCATCTCTCTTGAATGCACAATTCCTGGATCACGTCTCTGTCGTGTGTGTGTGTGTGTGTGTGTGTGTGTGTGTGTGTGTGTATGCAGTTTCTTTTAATTTTTTGAGACAGGATTTTTCATTATGTAGTCTAAGTTGCCTTGAACTCATGATCCTCCTGCCTCAGCACACCATTCTTCCCCTATACTGGTGCCACAATTCTGCAACACCAGCCTGGCTCATTTATATTTATGTGTTTTCAATTTATGATTTCCACATTCTGAAGTCCTATCTGTCAAGGCAATGTTCTGTACCATGTAGGCACGTTTAAATAGCCTATGCTCAAGAATACTTTTATAGACAAAAACAAAGGTACTATTAATACAACTTAGTGAAGTTTTATTAATGTAAATCTTGCAACCATTGACCTTCAACCCTTCTAACATGGAACACTAATGATAATAAAGGCCCTGCCCAGTTCACTATCTAAGGCCTTGTCACTCACTTTGTGACCTCTGCATCAACAGTGCGGGTATCACCTGGAAACTGGTTAGAAATGAAGAACCCTGAACCGCATCCCTGCCAGACTGCATTGAGAGTTTAAACATGGCTGATGGCGATTCCCAGACAGTGATGCTCAGAAATCTAGCTCCATGATGGTTCCTAAGTCCCCTCAACCTGAGGGCGCTCCCTGCAGAGAGCAGTTTTGCATTTGTCATTTCGACAAATGTCCCTTTCCTCCTCTCGACTGAAACGTCTCATGGACAAGGCTATGCAGGGTTGGTCCCCAGAGCCATGTATATTGCTCAGAAATCTGTTCCACAAATCAGTAAGTCACACTCTGGATCTCCTTCATATCTGCTTCCCCAACCCCTCAGAGCTCAGCAGAGTTTCAGCTGGGTTTTCCCAGATCACCAAGGGATTAGAAACAATTCTGAGGTAGGAAAGCATATTTTAATTGTGGAAGATTTGGGTTCCCAGCAGTTAATATTTCTCTGAGTACTGGGAAGAAAGAAGGCATGGAGTGTTGTCAGAACACGGCCCAAGAACGGAGTTGTGTGAGAATTCTGAGCGTTTTTGAGAAGACAAGAAAACGGGACAAGAGACTTGTGACCTCAGTTTCTTCAAAGCATGGAATTGTTCTTGGAATGTGTTTTCGTGCTCCTCCCACGTGTAGTGGATAAGAGTAAGTTTACTTCAGATTAGTCGTTATTTCTTGATGTTGTTACTCAATCAAATGTTTATATGCCTATATGGAAAAAACATGTTTTTGCCATGTAGAGCTTGTTCTTGTGATGATGTAGACATTGAACTTATGAGAACTTTACTTGTGGGACCTTTCATTCCTAACCCTCATTGTATAAATTGTCTGATGCTCTGAATAAAGTTGGCTATCGTGTGAGACTTTAGTCAACCCCATTTATTGGCTGCACTCTCCCAAGTCCTGTGGTCTCTAGAGCAGTGGTAAGTGTGTTCTTCCTAATTCCATGCAAGGACTTTTATTCTTGTATATTTTCATTTTGTTCCTTCAAAGTTGTTTTTCTTTCCACCAGGAAAAGTTATTGGGGTGAGAATATAACATTATAAATGAACATGATTACTAATAAAATGTTTTATAATGCATATATACTTAAGTATGTATTTACTTAGAGCTTATCTCGGCATATAAAGCAATGTTTCAGTAGATTGCAAAATGTAACTCATTTAGTGAGGCAAGCATACATCCCAATGGCCCATTCTCTCCTGTCTGTGGATATGATGAAATGAGCTTCATGTTTATAATCCAGGAAGTATAATAATATCTGTGTTCCCAGTCTTCTAGGAAGCAAAGAAAATTCACGCATGGGTATAAAACAGCAGTATATTGCTCTAGGACCCCAGGCACAAACACCAGAAGCCAAAAAAGCAGGAAAGAGACAACCAACATTATTAACAGTGTTTTTATTTACAAAGATTGCTTTTATTTGACCATTTTGAAAACCATGAACATTTTCACTTTAGAAAACATTAAATAATAAACAAGATGCTATACAGTACTTTGGATAACTTCTTCAGTGTAGTGCAATGTCTTATTGGCACCTAAAAGTGAAATTCTCAATTGCTTTCCCCTTTCATCTTCAGCTGTGTAGTTAACATGACCAAAAAGGAACTGAATCATGAAAAATGGAACTAAGAACATAATATCAGGCTTTAGTTAAAGACTCAGGTCAGAAGTCCCAACTCTGTCTCTATCAATTAGATGACAAAGTCACTTGAGCCTGTTTTAAAAAAATGTACCAGCTTGTGGAATTGGAAAGACTCCTACTGAAAGTGGACCATAGGAGGAGGTAAAGGTGAAGGGTAACAGTGCTGTGATTGACACACGTTTAGTAGCCACATTAACTTGTCACATGCAAAGTAGAGACAATATCTCTCTGACTGGTGTTTCTTCACGGGGTTTCTCCAAAAAACAAGTCTCAATAAGCAACCGCTGAACAACCAACAGGGTCACACCATTACCCTGGAATCAGCATTAACACCGCCCATTAGGATATTAGTAAGCTACTGCAAAATCTGTTGTAACCTCTTCAAAAATAAATAGTTTGGGGGATTTGTTGTTAGTCCAAAATCACTTATTTCTGAAGACTCATTGATATATACTGTGAGAACCAGTGTATCTTCTAGAGCCCATAATCTGGTACTTTACCTTGAAGTAAGCACCTTAAATAGTTTTTTAAATGTAGGGAAGGGAGGGAGAGAGGAAGAAAGGAGATGAACAGGAAAGCGAGAGATAGGTGGGGTGTAGAAGGGGAGAGAGAGGGTGTGGGGAGAGAGGTGAGGAGAGAGAGAGAGAGAGACAGAGAGAGAGAGAGAGAGAGAGAGAGAGAGATCACGATTTTCACACTTCTTTTTGTGAAGTATCTGGCTTAACAGCTGCCCCTGACAGAAAGTGCCCCCTCACACTCTAGCCTAAGCCTGTTCCCTCTTGTTCTATTCTCAGTGCACATGGAGAACAGCTGGTCTCCAAGCTCTTGGTGCCAACCCTTCACATACTGGAAAACCATCAATGGTTTGTCCCTCAGTCTTCTCTTCTCCAGGCTGAACAATCCCAGTTCCTTTACTTTTTCCTCATAGATCTTTCTTTCCACCCCTTTAATCATCTCTGTGTTTCCTGGCAAAAACAGCAGAAAATATTTTGATTACTTCATCAGAAATGAAAGCGATGTAAGGAGAAAGTTGACACCTTAAAGTTATGAGTTTTTAATTGAGCGAAGGTATGACAGGGAAGAGCTACAGTTGGGACTTTGTGGATATTAGAATTCCAATACTGTCCTCCTGGGTTGCGTGGGTCTCATTCCATTGCATGCAGTGCTTTGGTGCACAGGCCTGCTTCCCATCCCAGCCTGGGGTCACATGGGAAGCCATGAGCTACACTAGCGGACACCCTGTCAACTTGAAGATCATTATGGATGCTTGGCCCATGGGCCTCCCCTACACGTCCACTCCCCATACATCTCTACCAAGTTTCTCACCGGTGGAGCCATGTTACAATAGTGAAAGCTGTTGGTTTAGAGCATAACTCAAAGCATGACGGTTTTATATATTAACTGCAGGTCCTTGTTTCCATTAATGGTTTAACTTTCTTCTGTAAAGATCAAACTCAAGGGCAATGAAATAAAGTCATTCCACTACCCCATCCAGACATCTCTGTCAGTATAAGGTTATGGCATGGATGACATTTCACCATGCATTTTTTTTTAGCTCAGGCTATCATAAGCTGCCTTTGACCTTGCAACTAGAGTCTGTGAATATCAGGAACTCGTACATATTTATATTAATAGCACATTTACACAAACACAGTACTACTAACAAGGAATTCCATGCCCACCCTACATAACTCTCTTTAAAAGAAAAACACGGTTTACAAGAATAAATGCATCTTAATACATTATACACCCTTCTATTATAAAGTGTATGGCAGCAAAAGTCAGAGTGAGGTCAGGCCAGAACGAGTGAAAAGGATCAACTAGGTCCACAAGCTCACTGTACACCATACTGTAAGCAGAGTCAACGCTACTCACGGCACGACACTGGACAGATCACAGAATGCCTTTTGTACAGAATGGAAACTTCTCCCATAACTGGCTATCAGGCCCACTCTGTAACCAGGATGAAGGATGGCATGGGTCACATGTGCCAAAGACCTTCATGAAGGAGATACGGGGTGAAAGGCACCACCCCAGAAGGGACTGAATGTCTCCAGATGCTCCCAAACTTCAAGGAGGGTGTCACTGTTCATTGGGATGGTACAAAAGCAGGCCACTGAGACCTAAGTCACCAACCAGCCTTCCTCCTGACCCACTCTTGCCCTAGGCCTGATAAGGGGGAGATGAGAAGGCAAGGATTGGAAAAAGAGGAAGAGCGACACAGTTCACTGCGAGCTCTGGAGCTGCTAGAGTTCTTCTCAGCAGTGACCTTTTTTCAAGCTCACATCATCCAATCCAATCTCCCCCGTGTGGCCACGCCTTTTTTCACCTTTGAAGATGACCTAGGGAGAGAATGCACACACTGGTCAGGCCTCCTCTGCCCCTTCCCAGTGCTCACTCACGGAGCATAATAAGGCAACCCTTCCCCCAAACCAAACATTAGACTTCTACAGCAAAAGGAAACACCGGGACTCAGGTGCCAGCATCAATCCAGACCCTGTGCCTGCTGGGATGCACTTTGATCAGTTACTCTTCAAATCGGCATTCTCACTACACACTAGTTGACTGCAGGAATGCTTGCAGTGGACACTGGCCAAAGATTACCAAGGTTTAGAAGAAAGACGAGTGTGGTGGAACATAGATCTGAGAAAGTAGGCGCTGAAGAGCTAGAAGATTCGAGGCTTACAGTCTGCCTTGGTTTTCTCTAGATAACATCCCTCACTGCCCACAGTGGGACAGATGCATACGCCATAGTCCAAGCACACTGTTGCTTTGGCTGTGTGATGCCCAATGTCTGCCCTCAAGTTTTATCCTCTGTGTGGCATTCCTGCTTAAAACAGGACAAAACTTTCAGTACTATGACTTAGAGCAATGCATTTGCCTGTCTTACTTCTCCACCATAAACATTAAGAAAACGGAGGCAGACGGTACACAGGATCTCAGGGCCCCTGTAAAAGCTGTGATGGGGTCTGTGATTCTAACATGACCGGGGAAGTCTGCACGAATGGAGGTTTTTCACAGCACAGGTGTGTAAGAATCTACAGAAAGATGGCATTTTCCCAAACTCACCCATTATTTTGGTGGGATGTGACAGATCATTTTCTCGCCAGCCAAGACTAGGTTATTTAAAATAAATTTTAAAATTGAAATACAGTTTTACTTTTATCACCACCCATGACCTATCCTGAACAATGCTTTTCAACCCTGGATCCGCGATCCTATCTGGAATTGCTTAACTGTGATCTCTGGGCCTAATGGGAAAATGAATTTCAAAGGAGCACTTGAAAACAGAAAGAAGGACTACCTCCACAGAGGTTATCAAAGTAACCGCTGGAAGCTTAAGGAATTGAAGGTAAAGAAAAAGCAGGCACTATTACTCATAACGCCCAAGACCCTGGATGCTTTTATCAACTTTTTTTTTTTTCAATTTTGCTAGTTTTCTCGCCTTGAAAACAGTTTGTCATTGCGAGAGAGTGAGGGCATGGTGGTCAAGGTCGCAGCAAAGAAGGATGAAGAAGCAGTTAAGAATTTCGGAAAGAGGCGATGGATGGGGATCTTGTGCCCGGGAAAAGCTACAGACAACTGGATCCAAATCCACAGAGCAAGGCTTCTTCCAGACCTATTCCCGAGCTCGCCTCTGAAGGCAGAGCCTCCATTTGGGGAACTACTTACGCTCTTGACGTCAGCCCCTCGCAAGGTGATCTGGGTTTGCCTCCAGCCATGGCCACCGTTTCTTCCCCACAGGGCTGCTCCATGGGCACCATGCTTTCTCACAAACACCTGCAGTGTGCCGGAGTGCAGCCCAGCCACCTTGTGCCTGAACGACAGGCACAGGTCCCCTGAATGCATGAGGTGGCCCAGAGGCAGCACCAAGCGGGCAGCTCTTCCCCCTGGGGCTTTGGCTGCAGACACTGTGAGATACTGTCCACCTGGAACGGGAAAAGCAGGGCCTCTTTCCAGCACAAACCGCATGGACAGGAGGTTCGTAGTAAGCTTCAGACTATAACATTCATTAGTGAAGACTCCCAGATCTTTTTTGAAGAAGAAAAATAGAGCTTATCTCTGTGCCTATTGTTTGCAAATAACACCCACATACTTTGCCCATAGAGAACAAAGACAACACATGATTAGTATGGAAACACTGGCTGTTTCCTTGGATACCATCAGACATCCCTAGGCACACCCTACCTTCTGATCCTCACCAATGCATCCCACACTGGTCTAGTAGAAATGACCCATAATCTCCTGGATAAAATTTATTTGTGGACAATTAACCTCTGGACAATAGAACACAAAGTAACCGAAAGAGCATTATTTCTCCTTATTCTCTCCTCCCCACTTAAAAACATAGTCCTTAACTGCAGAAGGGTGTTTTAAAGGACAGTTTGCTATCTTTCTCACATGGGGGCATAGCTCACCCCAGGAAAACACACAGGCAGCCCGGATACTGTCTGCACCTTCCCAAGATAACAATTTCATTTGGAGGTTAGTGATTTAAAAGATACACACATTAAAGCAAACCTGTAACTGTGTATCTCTGTCTGTCTGTCTGTCTTGTTACATCTAAGGGAACACAAAAACAATAAAAACCACTTTTGACAGGTCACCCTGGCTGTCCTCAGACTCCTGAGTCTATCCATTTCCCATCTCTCTTCTGTTAGAGAAGCACAATCAGGGAAAAAAAAGAAAGATTAAGCACCAGGGAAGAGGGGCTACTGCTTCTCAAGAGCATTGTGAGTGGGAAGCCAGGGTACAGATGCTAATCCCTTCAGACAGCTTTGTCCCAGCCAACTGAAAACACACTGGGAGTTTTGACACTGATTTGTCCACAGGAAGAATGTGCTTGGTATCTGCTTCGAGAGAAACTTCATTTCCTTTTCGGTTTAATGACAGACCATCGTCATCACCTTACGCTTTGTTTCTACAAAACATGCCAAGAGACTTGGGATGTCATCTTATACCAGTGGGCTTTTCTCTACCAAGTTCAGGTTGGTATTCTTCTAAGTAGCAAATGACATTTGAGTAACTGTGGTGTTCCCATGTTCTGTGCTACGTCCTCCCTGCAGGCTACAAATAACTGAAGCCAGTCCCCTGTGTATCTCAAACCTCCCCATTAATACCCTAGGATAGAGCGGACACTTTGGTTATTTGTTGAATAAATGATTGATGCTCCAAAAACATAGCAAAAACCTGCCAGAAAATTGGTTGTTGACTCATGTATCCAAGTCAATAAAAACACACAATGTGTTGGCTTCCTCCCTCTTTTTGGCTCCCTCCCTCACATATTGACACCCACCAAAATACTTGGCGGAAAATTCTATGTGCATGTTAAATGTCTGTCTCTAAGTTGGCTTCTGAGTCATCACAGGTACTGTGGGTAAGGCCAAGGTAGGATTATTACAGTGAACCTGCAAGTTTTAAGAAAACAGGGATTATCTTAAAACTCTGTGAAATGAGCCGGGCGGTGGTGGTGCACGCCTTTAATCCCAGCACTCGGGAGGCAGAGGCAGGTGGATCTCTGTGAGTTCGAGGCCAGGCTCTACCGACAGCCTCCAAAACAATACAGAGAAACCCTGTCTCGTAAAACCAAAAAAAAAAAAAACTCTGTGAAATGTATGCCAATACATTTTTCAAGATACTCCATGCAAACGGAGCACCTAATAAACCAAGGCACCCAAAATTCAAACAACCCTTTTTCTACACATATTCAAAACCCTAAAATTGGGATGATGATGACTAAAGTTGCTACTATTCTTCCTCCATCCAGCTGTTCTGACTTGGGTTTAATTTTATTTTTTGGTCTTAAATTTTCACTTACTGATTGAGTGACTAATTTTTGGGAGGGGTGGGGATGCCACATGCCATAGCACACACGTAGGTCAGAATTCCCCAGCATATTCTGAGGAACAGTTCCGAATGAGTCTACACTCCCATGATCCTCCAACTCTCCTGCCATCTTTTGGTCTTCCCATCCTTTTCTCCAAGCAGAAAACTTGTCACCAATTCCCTTGGGAAATTCTCCTGAGAGACATTTTCCACAGGAACATAGGCCCTCACAGCCTTGTCAGAGGACATACCACCAAACGTCTCCAACAGAGGCTCAACTCCCCACACCAGCCTGCTCTTTCCAGTAGCTGTAGCAAAAGCTCTTCTTCAGGGTTGACCATCTATGTTGTTTTCTGCCACGGGCACTACTTCCCATCCCTTTAAATCACAAAGGACAATTCTAACCTTGGGTCAACTGGTTCAAAGCAGTGCTTTTCCCCAGTTAAACATTCTGGCCTGCACCCACTCCTCACAGGTAAAGGAAGACACACCTCTCCATCCAGGCCACTCTCTTCTGAGAGATGTGCAAATAAGTCTCAGATGAGACAGGCTCTCAGAAGGGGAACAGCCACTTCACCACCACAAATTTTTCCTTCTGGAAAAGGACCAGATCTACAGAAATAGCCCCCCTTTTGGAAACAACAAACAGAAAAGTCACTCAGGATGAAGTCAGTTAGCGCTTGCTTACACCTTTCCATAGCTGTGGTTGGTTTCTAGACCCTGAGACATACTCAGAATCAGTTTATCCCTGCAGGGTCCATTAGCCAGCCTCTTGGATGATGGTTCCGCCAGCACACAATCACTTTTCTGTCCAGCATGGGGTTGCAGCTAGGTCAAGATTTCTTACGTATCTCAATTCGATATCCATTTATCCAAGTTCTTGGTAAAAACTAGAAAAGCATCCTATAGGAGCCAGATCTAATGGTCAGGTGCTGGCCTGTCACCTAGGCTCTGTCACATCTTTTCCATTTGTTCTGCTCTAGCACAGCCCAATGATCACTTAAAATACAGCCCCTCTACATTCAACTTTCACACATCTTCTACCAGAGGACAAGAAGAGTTTGACCCACAAATCAGAATGTCTACAAATGTGGTAACAATGAATAGTGTTGAAAAGTAGTACACAGTTCTGAAAAAGCATTCTAAGAATCAATTCAGACTAGTTTACAGCGGCTACTGCAAACAGCATCCTTCTACAAAGCCAATGAGTTCTTTTAAACACAGAATGAATTGCTCTTCATGGTGTACCTAGTCAAAAGAGTTATTCATCAAGGCCATGACCACCATTGACAGGCTCATCATGGACACCTGTAGAAGATCTTTCTGTTGCAAACTATTGTGGGCCAGGAGTCCAACCCAGTCTAGTCTCACTTAAAGGCCCAATAACCTAACTACATCAGATACAGAACCACATGTTACTGCCACAGGCACCGAACTGATTCTACACCACGGTAAATTTCATCACTCTAGCTCTGCAGCCCGAGGAGGCTTACATTGACTCTCTGGACATCAATGATCCTCTGATTCACTGGACGGCTAGGAGGGTTAAATAGAATTAATGAGAGATGTTCTAGGGACAGAGCAGATGTCAGCATCTGTTGAGTCTGTTACTTACAGACACTTGGGATGATAACAATATTATGCTCAGAGGTGACCCTACATGGGTATGAGTAATTCAAGACAGAGTGAGAGGAGTACTGGATAAAGTATTTCCTGGTTTTTATAACAAAAACAAATCTTTGTTTTTTCAAGACAAGGTTTCTCTGTATGGTCCTGGCTATCATGGAACTTACTCTGTAGGCCAGCCTGGCCTTGAACTCAGAGATCCACCTGCCTCCGCCTCCTAAGTGCTGTGATTAAAGGTGTGCACTACCACTGCCTGGCTACAAAAACAAATCTTAAAAACTGCATCAATTTATTGAATACTGAGTTTTTAAAAAGTTTTCCTTAAATATTGATTCTAAAATACCTTTTTATTTCAATTCAATCATCTTTCAATTATATCTAATTAAATTTTAGAAGCTCTAATAAATTGGAATGACTACTTGAAGCCTTGTTGCCGAGACTGTCTATTGCAGAATACTATAAGTACTATTGGTATCCCAAGGGAGCCAACTACCATCTGCTTTCCACAAAGTCCCATTGACCTGTGCAGCACAGCTACTATATTAGAGTATACGTGCTCACAAGCTACCTTTTCTGTATTATGTTCTAAAGACAGAATGACATTTGAAAACTAGACTTCAGAAGTACATAAAATAGCACACTTTACCTTCATATCATGTGTGTTTTATTTTTAGAAGCTAGAATCAGAACCAAAAGGAACAAAACAAGCGAGACTTCTCACTCTTAATTTGGCTTCACTCAAAAAAATAAAAAATAAACAAAAAACTATTTAACTACCGAGGGAAGGAAGAGACCAATGTGTAGCTTTACTTCTCGAGTAGCAAGGCAAAATACTTATGAAGCACTGAACACTTACATTAGTAAGCATTGCACAATTTACAGTCCTACTAATTTTTCAAGATGAGCTTTTTAGTAAGCTTCTCTCTCAGATGCAGAGATGCAGGGTGGCGATGTGTACTCTTCCCTCTAGGATCTGACGTATAGCTATTTTTTTTTTTACAGAGAGGCACTGTGTTGTATAAATTTCAATCATCTCCATCATATACTGCTCAGATCTTCATTAACAAATCAAACTGACCAAAAAATACCCAGGGACTGTCACTACAAGGGACAGAACACTATGTCACTGCTTTTACTCAGAGGAATTGGGTGCTGTAAGTACCTTGAAATTTTATGCTAGGGAGAGTTTAAATGCTTATTTACCAAGATTTTGGAGGCAAATCATCTGGCCTCCTGAATAACTAGCTGTGTCACATGACAGGCATCCAGTAGACCTCTACCTAACATCCTCTCCTAAAGAAGACGAATATACAACGGGGATGGATTGTGTCTGCTTTGCTTTTATGGTCAAAAGAACCAAACAGTGCCAGAAGGTGTTAGATGATGTGCCTTTACCTGCTGGGTCCCTGACGGGCTCCCAGTGCAAGTCGCTGTCTTTTTCTCTGATCCATCCACAAAGTCCATGGTCAAAATTACAACTGTGTATGAGAATACCTGCAAGGAGGTGGCCAGAAAAATATGATCACAAACTCAACAAACAGCAGCCAGTGATTTGTAAACCAGAGAAGTCCATATGCCAAGGGTGTTCTCCCGCACGAACTTAATATCCCATCAGAACACTTGCCTGACCTCAAAGGGAATGTATTTCTGCCAGCGCAACTGAAGAGACACTCGGCTGCAGAAACAGAACCAAGGGTGCTCCCAACTCATGACTTCATTGGGTTGTCACTGTTAAAATCTGACTTCCATCTCACAATTCAAGCACCACTTTAATGTGATGTTAAAGACTCATAATTATTTTTGTTCAAGTGACTGAACCAACTGAGTTGCATTAAAACAACAAAAGAGAAGAAATCACTTAACTTCCTTGAATGTGACAGGTGGCCTACACTTGTATTTTCTCCTATTAACGAAACTCATTGTTTTGCATCCCAACTGAAAAGAAAATCAAAGTTCTTGTCTTGAGCTGGAGGGAGAGGCTGGCATGTAATAGCATCTACCTGGGTCGTCTTTAGCTTCATCATCAGCGCTGATTCCTCTTTCGATTTCAAATATTTCAAACAGGTCATTTGAAGGCTGCCGTGGAACTGCAAGACAGAAGCCGATGGTTTGTTTCCCTTCTTTAAATGAGACGGTGAGAAGACATCCTGTCTTTAACAAGGGCCAGGGGAAAGCCTGTGCAGTTCAGCTCATCTTACACAAGGGGTGGCAGGATTCACTGTGCAGAGATCTGGACTGCACGTTGATGTGGATACGAGTGAAAAACACAACTTCCAAACTTTCTAAAATTCTAGACAAGAACAAGTAATGGGCCAGGGGGATTGTTCCGTTGTTAGGGTACCTGCTGTATGTGAGGGAGCCCTGGGTTTGGATTCACAGCTGCACATAAAAAGCTTGTGTGGCAGTGCCCATCTACAGTTCCAGTGCTGGGGAGTCAGACACAGGTCTGAAACTACTGGCCAGTCCACCCAGGCAAATAGACGCTTCTGTTTGCTGAGAGACCCTATCTAAAAAACGAAACAGGAGGGAGGTGCTTGCAGATCTTCACTGATCAGGCCTCGTGGTTTTTGAGTTTTAACTCGAAAATGCAACTCTGCTTTCTTTCTCTGTTTCAGATCTAACCTCCCTTCCTGACTTAAAAGGCATGACTTCACCTTTTCCTCCCCACCCCCTCCTCCCAGCAGCTGTGGAAATGAACAGCTTGCCACTAATGAAACTGTCCTCGATTTTCAAAAATGAATGAATGAATGAATGAATGAATGAATGAATGAATGAAAACAAGGTGTAGAGTAACAAAAAAGATACCTGATGTTGGCCTCTGGTCTCAACACATGAACACATGTGCTTACATACATGCACACACATGAACATATACATATACCAAATAGAGAGAGAGAGAACTATGAAACAACTTCTAATTTCTAGCACACACACTCACACACACACACACTCACACACACTCACACCACACACACACACACTCACACATACTCACACCACACACACAGTCACACACACTCACACACACACTCACACATACCACACACACATACTCACACCACACACACACAGTCACACACACTCACACACACACTTATACATACTCACACCACACACACACAGTCACACACACTCACATACACTCACACACACACTCACACACACCACACACACACATACTCACACCACACACACAGTCACACACAGTCACTCACACTCACACACACTCACACACACACCACACACACATACTCACACCACACACACACAGTCACACACACACTCACATACACTCCCACACACACTCACACACACCACACACACACACTCACACACACTCACACATACTCACACCACACACACACTCACACACACACACTCACACACACACACACACACACACACACACACACACGTCTGTCTCTCTGCTAGTCCCTGATGTCTTTGATAGCATCCATCACATTGGACTCACATGGCACTTCCAGGGCTTGACCTGGTGACAGGCACCTGTGATCACTGAGCAAATGCAAAGATCCTGTCACAAACCATGTTCTTGTCTACATCCTTAATCGACTGTCACAAGTGAACAGAGCTTAAGAGCACACTTCAAGAACCAGCATTCATTCCATGGGCATTTGATTTCCAACCAAATGCCCAGCCCCGTGATGGGCACTGAGGAGATGGTGCAAAGAGCGTGAACAGGGCCAACAAGGGTGCCCCCAGAATTCTATCTAGCGGAGACAGCAACATCAAACACAGAGGTAAACGGACAGTTTAAGTTTTGAAAAGGAGTAGGAAGGAAAGAAATGTCTGAAGATGCCAAGAAGAATAGCTGGGTCAGAGAGTAGGGGAAAATGTGGGAAAGTTGGTGGTTAGGGAATTCTTGAACAGAGGCCAGGGAATACTCCCTTCTCTTTGCCAGAAATTTAATTAATGCTTTATTTTTATAAGACAGGGAATAAAAGATATAGGCTACTGCGAAACTGATGACATTTGCAAGGTTCTTTTTCTCTAATTATGTTATTACTGTTAGCAAGGACAGTCTTGTGATATTTGCAACTGTTTTAAGCCTACTACATCTGGATTGTTCTCCCACTTTTGTTTCAAAAGTCAAAACAGGGAAGTGACTTCTCTTTCACAGCACATGTGTGGGCATGTGCACACACACACACACACAGACACACACACACCACACACATTCACACACACACCACACACATTCACACACACCACACATATGCACACATCACACACATAAACACACCACACACACGTACACACACACCACACATATACACACATACCACACACATACCACACACCAGACACACACACCCCACACACAAAACACACATTACATACACCATGCACACACACATCATACACACAAACACCATTCACACCACACATATACACACATCAAACACATAAACACACCACACACATGTACACACACCACACACACAGACAGGGATGACAAAGTCGAAGCTAGGACAGCAGACAGATGAGCACTGTGAATGAGCTGCTCGCTGGCCCCTGGGAGTACTGGATTACTGACAGCAATTACATCCAATGACAACTTCCCTTTTCTCATTTTCAGACTGAGAGAACACCTTTCTTATTTGTTAGGAGTACACAGTTGTGGGTAAATCTGCTTCACTTCTCATGGTATAAGTTGTAAAAACGTTAGGACATGATTGTGCTTTTGTTCTATTCTCTAGTAACGGAAGTGACCTCAGGCATAGGGAAGCTGAACTCCTCCTGCGGTGTAGAGTCTACGGGCTGTGAGGAAGGACTCTGTGCTGGCACTTGTCTGCTTTTGAGGTGTCCAGGTGCTCTGACACGTGGCTTCAGGTTATCAAGGAAGATTGGGAGGTTTTCTCTGAAAAGAACAACTTAAACTGAAAGGGAAATAGGCAGAACCTTCCACTCACAGAGCACAAAGCTGGAGTGACGAAAAGGTGCCCTGGGCAGCAGGAGTAAAGACTGCGCAGAAGAGTCACGCAGAGGGTACACCGTGGTGGCGAGAGTGCCGCATGGCAGGGAGAGGAGGGCCCGGATCAAGCACTGGAAAACCGTGAACCTCCCCGCACTAGCCACCAGCCTCTGAGGGCTGATTAAGACTTCAGACAAGTCCAAGAATTATTTAATTAACAGTGGGCGATGCTTTCGCATTCCAAAGGATTCACAGGCCTGATGTGCTCAGCACCTGCCTAGGCTCCCAGTGTTGTGATGACACCCTGAACCCTCCCCGGTTAATTCATTTCCTAACCACATCAGTGTGGCTTACTAAGACATCACACTGAAGTGTCAACAGAGGGCGTAATACCCTCCCGGACGTATGTCACATTATGTGAAAACACCAGCTGAAATAAGTATGGAGACTTGAGTAGTGTCTCAGCAATATATTAAGAAAGTTTTTTTTTAAGACTAGAAAAAAGGGTCATAAGGAATACATTAATAATTTAGTAGTCTGAATGTTGGAAATTAAAGTGCTTTTTTTCATTTGCTGATTTATATATTGTAATTTTTAAAAAGCGGTGTGAGAAAGACACCAAGCAACAAGGTTCAAGCAGAAGGTTTTTTTAATTAGGGAAAGGGATCATAAAAAAGGGAAAGGGGAGACCAGCCTCCAGAGACAGGAGCAACAGGAGAGAGGAAGAAGGGAGAGAGGGTGAGGGAAGAGAGGGAGAGAGGGGGGGGAGGGGGAGAGGAGGAGGAGGACAGGGGCCCTTTTAAAAGGGAACATAATGAATGTGCACAGGTGGTGCTCTTAATGGCTGCAGCTGACAAATATCCTGTCAGAACCCCAAGGGCAACCCAGCACAGATGCCTGAATAATTTTATATTTTGAGGCTGTTAAGAAGAAAAAGTTTAAATATGAACAATCCCTAAGTCAATCTGAAAATGGAGGGTTCTGGAAGGACACAGCTACACAGTAGTGACATATCTGATGTTTGCATCTGGATTGTTCCTAGAAGTTTGAACAGTCTTCATATCCGATGTAAGCAAGGTTATAACACTGAAGTATATGTGAAATGAATATACTTCCTTTGATTCAAGGGAGTGGTTTTAATTGGTGGAGAAAATGTTAATTAAAACATCTGAAAGCAAAATAGTAAGGATGGACACATGGGATTTCATTACTCTCCCTTCCTCAATATTTTGGTTGGTATTCATTTAAATATACAATTAAACAGAAACACATCTGATACCTTCTCAGACTTAGAATGGTGTAATTATGAAGATTCAAAAGAATAAAAGATGCTAACAGTGTTCCTGCTCATTCTTTTGCTTTCCTTCGATGTCCTCATCAAAGTACAAAGCATCAATGCGAGGGGTGCAGGGGACTGGGCTAAGCACGTATTTCACTCTTGCTGTCATTTGACCCACATTCTTCAAGGGGAAGATGGACGCAGTGGGTGCTTTAATGGAAAAGCAGAAGATGCTACTTAGTGTGTGTAGGACGGGGGAGCCTGGCAAAGTTCACCCAGGAAGGGGAGGTGTGGAAACTCTCTGAGAAGTGATGTCTGTACTAAGATCTGCAGGATGAGTTGCTGCGAGTGAAGGCCCTGGAGAACTGAAGGGTGGACCACCGGGCAGCGCAGGAGCCCGGGGGAGAGGCAGACACAGGAAGAAAGGCTTCAGACGAAATGGGAGCTGCCGGGTGACTGTTTAAAGCCTTCTTAAAACTCTGCATGCAGAAATTGGACACTCTAAAGGGTTTTACAGTAGTGACAAGGTGAGGTTTGCATGGTAAAATTATCGATCCACTGCACTTGGAGAAAGACAAGGAGGATAGTGATGGTAGAATGCATTTATGACTACTATTACTGTAAAAAAAACCCAACATTATTATTCAGTATTGCACCACTAAAAACATTCTTGTGCTATGACGGCACACGGCTTAAACCTCAGCACTTGGGAGGCAGAGGCAAGCAAATCTATATGAGTTCAAGGCCACCATGATCTACATAGGGAGTCACAGGCCAGCCAAGGCTACATAGTGAGACTCTGTGTCAAAAAGAAAAAAAGAAATCTTGCTTGTTGCTTCTGACTAAAAGAAAGAAGGTACTTACTTCCAAAG